AGGATCGCTCTTGGCGAGAGCGACACTAAGTAGTCACACAATCACAATTCGAAATAGCCTTCGTTAAAGATGCCGTATATGATGATAGTGACTATGTAATCCATTGAGACACTTGTTGTATCTTCTTCCGTGCAAGTCATCTCTGCAGTGTTTTTAAGTTCATCCCGTAGACGTAACATATATCTTGATTCGGATTCCTAATAAAGATCAACTGAACCTTTAAGATCAATAGGTTGGATATCAGATGTATTCGAATGCTTTGATCGACCTGTTCTACTCTAGTGTGCCCGTGTTTCACTTGAATTTTTCTCACACATGAATTAAAATGAATCGTTATTTACGCTTGTTAAAATTACTGGGCCATCACCCCTCCTATAAGAAAGCTACCGAGTCCTTGGAGATTCGGTTTGTCAGACTGAAATGTGCAGTAGTCATAACTTATTTCAGACGTGAACTATTTTTCCAACAAAAAAGCCAAAAAGACAAAAACAAATAAATAAACAGGCAAACAAAGACCTAAATTGATTGTGCTAAAAAGATAACATGTTACATGCGTTCGATAAATTAGAGTTGATTCCTCGCACCAAACGGCAAAGAAATATCCCCAGTTCCTATTTGCTTATTCTTATTGAGTTTTGCGAACGATCACAACGACTCAATCCTTGTACGGTTAGATACTCAGTCATGGATATCCCGGATGCATGAACTTCGATTAACTGCGCTTGCTTTGCGATGTTCATCCGGGCTTCTGCCACTGAAATGGTGGCGATTGCTCCCTAACACACGCACGCGAGACATTTTTAGTAAGGCATTATAGACTATCAGTGTGCAACTTTTTGTTATAGTGAGTACTTTTCAAATTAAATTCCACCTAAACGACAACTGAAAACAAGCTAATCAATACAGAAATTTTCCGTATTTACATATAGCCTCATCTAAATAATCCGGAGGACTGGATGAACTCGTGACAATTGTGTAAACCCAAGACGAAGTCGAAGGTTTGCATAACAGTTTGAGGAGTTCTCCAAACCAACCTAATGTTTATGAGGCTCCATAATTAAACAGAAAAGGTCTTCCACTGCATTCCGTTTAACATATTCAGCAAAATATACAAAGGCATGTAGCCTCGTAGGTGTTGACATACTGTCGTCGAAACACACTGATTATCGACCAATGAAAGTGTACCTAGTATCTCAGTGGCTTTATAAGGCTTAATGCATGATTGAGATGGGAATCCATAATATAACCTCTTTAGACAGAGACTCTTTTAATTGACTCTTTATGCACCAGTTTTATCCCGCTTTAGAGACTTATTATTTTGTGTCTGTCTCCATCGACTAATAGATGGACAGGCAGAGTAACATTCTCTAATTACACTATAAAATTTGTTGGTATAGACTATATGCTGTTATGAATTACAATTAGTCACGGGAAAGAAAAAAGTAAAGACTTGTTTTTTAAATTTAAATATGTGTATAAAAGAGACTGGATAAAATGTGTAGTTTTGAAGTGCCTCGAAAAGAATTGATTAACGGTATTTTCTAATAAAACATTTAAAATACTACTCTAAAATAACACTGCCTACAGCCACGATCTCTAAGTCAACTGATTTCATTAAAGTCATTAAACATTTAAGGTTTGCAAATACGAGTCTAACTTTTAATCATTGTTGTGCCCTACCAATAGAGGAGTTCCTTACATACAGTGATCGCCTGCAGCATGGTATGTTAAAAGACTCCTTTTAACAACGTCTTCATTATAGCTCATTAAAACCTTAAAAGTTGAAAGGAGACCGAAGTCCACTCGACAGCCTCAATAAACATTCAAACATCCTTTTGTGGCATAATAATTGGAATAAAAAGGAGAAAAAAAGAAAAGGAATCAAAAAAATCATTATGCAAAAGAAAAGTTATCATGGATACTTAGAAAAGAGATGCATGAATACGGGCAGACTTGAGCTGTTCAGCTATTTATAATGCATCCTTTTAGGGTTATCGTATCGCTTTCACGACAGTCCTGGGCAAAATTTTTCTTACGCAAGGAATGGGGTGGCAAAATAATAACGTGCGAAAACAAATTCTAAACGCATTCTTCCCAAAATCAATTGGAGAGATTTTAATCATGAATCACGTCAATGTAGTTTTTGGCAAAAAGTTAATCCGGTATTCGTTGATGACTTCGATATTTGGTTTACTCGTGACGTATGTCCAAAATTCTGCCAAGTTGCTGAACAGAAAAAGCAAAAACCCATTTACTATTAAACCTGGTTTGCATAACGCATGTTAAATCAGCGGCAGCTGAAAGATCCAAATTTCAGAGATCGAACAGCGTAAGCTTTACCTTCGTCAGCTTTTATTATCTTTTGGTAATTACTATCATCATATGCATTTCTTCCACAAATTTTCCGGTGTAAGTTATAATCGTATCTCGCTGGAATTTTGAGAAGGTGCTCATTTCTATGGCAAACCTTTTAAATGAAACTGTTTTTCCCTTTCTTTCGCGCCTTCCTTCACGTTCCTCACAATATTCCATTGTTAATGCGTCATTAGCTAATTCCATGACCATTTGATATGGTCTTAAGGGCCCATTTTTATCAACAAATGGTAACCTTTGAATACTTCTTGAGGTGAGACTTTTATCGCAATTAACAGTTAGTGGAGAGCCAAAGAACTGCATTTTGATTTTGTGTTTTCGTTGTGGCTACAACCAACCAACATTTCAATTCAACTGACTCACTATCTTACCCTTAATCAGCGCCCACGATTAGAAACAGCTGTAATGTTAATGATCCCAAGCAGTTGACTGAATCCTCATAATAAGACGTGGATAATATGTATATACATCTACTCATTAAAGCTTTCAAAGGACATCGTCATCAACTGGAAGCTCTTTGCAACAGAAAATTAAAATTAAATAAAGTTTGGTTTTTAAAGTAAACTAAGAAGTTGTACTACTTTGACACTCATTCGTGGAAACTGGTAAGCAACAATAAGATTGAAAGAAGTGAATACATTGAAAAAAGATCTTGTCTTTCTTTTACTCTATAATGAGAACAAAAGTATTAGGATGTTCTGTTACAAACACCGGCTTGAGGGATTTTTTTACTTTTATCCTTTCAAATCATTAACATAGTGGAACTAAAGGAGCTCTCGACTTGTGTTTGTTGTATATACCGGCCGTACGGGCTTTGTATATTATGTTTTACTCATTTTCGTTTGTCGGATGCGGCCCTTTGGTATGTTAATATCGCCATGCCTTCTTTACCGAGACTTATCTCCGACTTAGAAAGAAACTTTGTGTTCCATTACTGGATCTTGTCGTTTTATGAGATTAATTACATAAGATATGTCCGAGCATACTGCTGAAACAGGAACTTAGGAAGAAATAAGCCTTCAGATGAGAAAAGACAGGCATTGAAAAATAATGAGGAAACACTGTTTAATAGGTAATGGTGCGCCCCAGAAATAGAATTGATCAAAATGATGTTAATTAACGGTCCAATGATTTCGGTTCACACCCCAAATTTGACGTGGGAAGGTTTCCTCGGGGGAACTATTTAGTCAATCAGTCTGATAGACACATATATGATATGAAATTGAAAATTTCATATCGACGCGACGCTTTTGAATGCCGGCGGATATAGTTAGACTCGGATTCACCTGTCAGAGTAGCCTATATAAACTCCTTAGAATAACTAGTTAATCATTCTGATCAAGACTGGGTGAACTGAAGAGAAGCAGACATGAACACAAGGTGGATTATACTCTTCTTCTCCCTCATTTATTTGCTGCTTCTGAATAATCAAGCAGAGGCCTACGGTCGGCCGAAACTAGTGGCCAAACGGCGTTTTCCCCTTGAAAGAGTCGTCCA